CAAGAAAATACTCTTCATTTCCCACACAAATGCCTTGAAAGACACCAAATTTGGTCACAAAGTAGAAGCAGTTTTCATCCCATTGTTTCTTATATTTTATAATTGTATAGATTTTTAATAAAGTATACTATACTGTATAATATATTCAAAGATATAGCGTTATAATCTTTTAATACCATAACAATAACTCATATTGAATGGCATGAATAGTAGGTGTGATTACATTAAGTGTTTGCTTTAAAGACATTTATTTGGTGTTAAAGTGTTTGAAATTTATCATGAATTGCATTCTTGTTAATTAAAATTATGTTAATTAAAATATATGCCATTTTAATTATTTCTTATAATTAACATATTCTCTATGAAAAATGTATCATAAAATGAGAGTAGATTTAATAAATAGTTTCAATGTTATAATTTAATAAACAAATTAAATTAAGTATAAGAAATGAATTGAATATTTAGTATAAAATATAATTTCGTACAATGAATACATGTAAGGTATTGGTGTTCAACGTACTTACTATTAGTAAGTTGGAGTAGTAAAGCCAAGTGTCATCTCAATATTAAAATTATATTTTAATGATTAAATTAAGAATTATTAATCATTAAATTGAACATTAAGATCACGTTTGAAAATATGGTCATCAAATATGATTGATTCAAATATTAATAAACTTGTTGATAATCGCAAACAATATCAAAAATCTCATTAAAATGTGAATTAAATTTTGTTTTAGTGACGTTTGTGGATAGACTAAAAGCCAACCACTATAAAAATGAATGAGAAACTATTAGGTGGACCTACATGTGGTGTTTCTTGTTTAATACTGACAAACCTAAACTTTTTACTGACCGTTGCGCCACCTTTTTAGAGCACACTGTGAATCCATATCTGTGATATTCTAAAAAAGGTTGAACACCAATAATGTAAGGTATACTTTATATTAATATTTAATATTTCTATACAATGTGTGTATATTTTAAAATATTTTATTTTACTAAAGAAAATAAACATTGATTTCAAATCATTGATTTGATAGGAAAGCGATGGAAAAGTTTGACAAAAAATCTGATAATTGAATCAGAATTTTGCAAATAAATCCAAATCTAGAAATGGGTCTAAAGTGTGATATATTTTCAAATGGATTCACAAATTTTGAGACCATTTCTAAACATAATTCAAAGATTTTGAAATCTATTTTTTTAGTTTTAACCACAACTCAGCATTACAATTGTAGTTTATAAGATCAAGCCGTCAACTCCCTAGTCTTTTAAGATACTGTATTACATTAAATCTATGGATACACTAATGTTATTCTATGGAGAATATTTATACGGGCTAATGCTAAATCTATGGGACTAATAATTATACAGTATCTATGGTTTATTGTTGTGCAAGAGGAGGTCATCTCTTTTATTCGAAAACATGTGTGAATATTTCCACGCTCATTTATTCTATCGACTAACTGACTTTACTGAATTATAACTAGTTACCCATGATACAAATTCACCATTGACACCATAATATGAAGAATATGCATGATTGTTTGACAAACTTACACCAATGTCAACACCATTTTTTTAAAATTTCTCATAGAAAACAATGTTAATTGTATATAAAAGTGTAGTTTTATGCACAAAAATCCATGAGAATGATCAATGTGAATTTTATTGTGCTGTTGATTTAAATCTTGCCAAACAAACAACCATGCACATTCTACATAAGGTGTCAAAAGAGAATTTGTACCTCAGATAACTGATTATGATTCAGTGAAGACGGATAGTCGATAGAATAAATGAGCTAGGAGATATTCACATATGTTTAGTGACAAAAGGAGATGAGCCCTCTGCTCAAACACGTATCTGTACTGTAGATGAGATGTGAATAGTTTAAAATATTTGAATTCTAATCACTTATTCCTTTGTATCTGTTTTTAATTACAAATAAAATATTTTTAATTATAAATTACAAGTTTAATACGAAATTTGTTGAATTACTGTTAGTGTTATTAAATTACAATACTATTAATAAATTGGAATTAAAGTGAATCAAAAATCATTACATTATAGTCATTATTATGTATTATAAGTGGAAAACAAATTGAAATGTAATTATAGAAGAAATTATTTGATAACAAATTGATTATTAGAAAACTTTTAGAAAATTAGACTAAAATTTATTTCAAATTTTGAAAGAAAGCAATTTTTCGGACCAGCATTTGGTTCTCCTCTTCAAACAGTTTCCTATTGGCGTTAAATATAGTATAAAAATAAATGGTTTTGTCAAACAATTAGTTGTCAAAACTATTTCAAACGGGACTAACAGTGTTTGGAGCCGGTGTTCAATCGGCCAGTCGTTGTACTCATCGTTGTTGTCGTTGTGTTCGCCAAACATTTTATTAAACAACTCTTTATACACTTAATGGCAATTAAAATATCAATCATTTATACATTTAATCGCATAACTAATACAAACGCTGAGCCCTTTTCGCACGAAAGTAAGTGATTTGTGCGTCAATTGTCTTCAGTTTGTGTCCAATGTCTCGACGATTCTAACCATTCATTGCAAACAAAATCAATCATTACTTTACAAATCAATTCACAAATTAAAACCAAATTCACGTTATTTATCGTCAAACGATTGAATCTTTGACTCAATTTGTCCACTTCTTTGCTAAACTGATCCCTGATTTACAAATGAGATAATAGAAAGTAAAAGAGTGGTCAATGGATCCGATGGTTAATGTAGACAATGAGTGAATTACACGACAATCGACTGTTGATTGCGTTTATCAACCAATTGTTGTCTCAATCGTTGGACACAATCACGACTTCCGTTGAGTTGTAGTTCAAGAGAAGCGGTCTTTAGATGTAATCCATTGGACTCAGCCTTCAGTAAAGACAACTGAAGTTCCAACTCATGGTTGGAATCGTTGAGAAGTGATGTCTTCCGACGTTTGTCATCGAGTTTTTGCTGCAAATGACGAGATTTGGCTGAAATTATGGCCAACTTTTGAGTCAACAGTTGTTTCCTGTTTTGCAATTGGGTTAACGATGTCTTCACTTCATTGGAATCGCCTTTAGATAAGTGTTCACTCATTTTGTCCGTCAAATTGTCATTAAATGTATTTCATATGAAATTGTATTCAATTCTCAAACCATTAATCGATACAAAAATGCGTACAATTTGTACGCAATTCTCGGGAATGACTTTAATTGCGACTTAAATTGAATGCAATTTAAATGCAATACAAATGGAGTATTAATGACGACAACCCATTGGTTGAGCCGTTTTTTGCTTCGCAACTAATCGTGTTTTCAATTATACCATTTGTACGCAATTTCTCTCAAATATGAATACAATTGCAATGAATTGAACACAAATTAGTGAACAGATTTGTTATCACTTTTGCAATTCCTTTCATTTCCCGATTCCTTTCATTTCCCGATTCCTTTCATTTCCCGATTCCTTTCATTTTCCCGATTCCTTCCTTCTTATAGTGAAGTAATGGTTAAATGTTTAACAAAGTTATCAAAAGAAATTAAAAAAAACTTTAAAACTGATAATAGATTCATAAAAGATGTAAATCTAGATATGAATGATACAAAGTTATATCAGTTTATTGCGTTAATCATTGAATAAATGGGTTAATATCCCTTCATTACAATCCGATCGCGCGGTTTTTTGAATTACTCCCAAACGAAATGAGCTAGATCAAATCTGTAAACTGTAAAATGATGATCCACATGTCTAGTTTTTTATGTCAAAAAATTATTGAAATCACGTGACTAGAACATAAAAATATTTGGGTCATTTCGAAATGGCATGGTTTTATCCAATTTGATAGGGTGGTCGGAGGGGGCTGGTATGCTATCAGGTAGAGGACATGTTAAAGTATATGATAGCAAAGTTTGATTAAGATTAGTTCAGCCATCTACGAGAAATTGATGATTTCATTAACATTAAGTCTAAAAAGGGAAATATAAACTCTGACAACGTATTTGAGCGCTAGAAATGGTACTAAAATATACCTCACGATTAAATGAAACCATCTAGCTCTAAAATTTAGGCCAACGGGAATATTTAGCGGGTATAATTGCCATAATTATGTTAAGAATTTGATTTTATAGTTTTAACTTTTGCGCCAGTATTGTGAGGATATTTCATTCATATCTATAATCCATTCACTTTACTCATAATCAATAGATTTTGCGCCAGTATTGTGAGGATATTTCATTCATATCTATAATCCTTTCACTTTACTCATAATCAATAGACAAAAATATTATATTCATACTTTATTCTACTATAGATTACTAATTAATTAATGTGTAAGGTGAAATGATAACAAATCTGAATAAAAATGATAGTAAACCTAATTATGAACAATGTTTTTGAGTATTGATATATGAATATAATATTTTTGTCTATTGATTATGAGTAAAGTGAATGGATTATAATAAGGTGAAATGATAACAAATCTGAATAAAAATGATAGTAAACCTAATTATGAACAATGTTTTTGAGTATTGATATATGAATATAATATTTTTGTCTATTGATTATGAGTAAAGTGAATGGATTATAAATATGAATGAAATATCTTCACAATACTGGCGCAAAAGTTAAAACTATAAAATCAAATTCTTAACATAATTATGGCAATTATACCCGCTAAATATTCCCGTTGGCCTAAATTTTAGATCTAGATGGTTTTACCTAATCGTAAAGTATATTTTAGTACCATTTTTAGCGCTTAAATACGTTGTCAGAGTTTATATTTCCCTTTTAAGGGAAAAAGTTGTTCTGAAGTTGTATTTTCATTCAATGATTAACGCAATAAACTGATATAACTTTGTATTATTCATATAATGGCCTAAAGTGTGATATATTTACGAATGAATTCACAAATTCTGAGACCATTTATAATAACAGTTCACAGAATTTAAAATCAATTTTTCGTTTAGTTTTTGATATAAAAATGGATATCAATGTAGAAAATCGCGACTTTTATCAATAATTCACAAATAGATAAGAATATTCTTTTGCGTTTGAAATGTCAAATACAATGCCTCAAAGCTTTCACAAATATTTCAATATTTTTATCCAAAAAAAACTCATAAACAAATAGAGAACAAGGTTGAGGTTCAAAATGAAAAGTTGGCCACATTCTGGGAAAAGTAAGTTATAAAACTTATATCCGAATAGATGGCAATTGAATGATCACTCACTCATCGCATTCAACACATAACGAATGATTAATTTAGAAAATTTTCTAAAAGTGTAAAATATTAACCTTGAATACTATAAAAACTGTAAACTGTAACTCTTTTATAATATTTAATAAATAACTACTAAATAAATAAGCATGAAAATTGCACACTATTCTGTGGAGGAATTTTTAAAACTACAATTCCAATGTAAAATTGTGGCTAAAAAATCCATACAAAAGGATATCCATCTCTTTTGTATCAAAACCAGAATTCAATTTTTATATAGATTTCCAAACAATGAGAACAACGAGTAATTCTTGTAATTCAGTCCTAAAAGGATATTTTATTTTTGTGTTAATGTTTTTTTTTGTCAGTCAATAATTTGTCGATTTTGTATTAAATCTGTGTTTTGTCACAAAAGTCATGCCTTTATTACATAAGCATTTAGTGTCGAGTATTGAGTAATAAATAACTAATTTGTAAATATAAGCAAAAAAGATGTTCCGATAAGAGATATTCTGTGCCTAAGTCTTAGTAAATATAATTCATTTACTGTTTACTAGAATTCCAGTTTATGTTTTGCTCCAACAGTACAACACAAATATTCAATTCAAGTGAATGTTGAGAGAGAGAGAGAGAGAGAGACGTCAAAGTGGTGCCAATGAATCAATGCGCCAAGAAATCCAGGTATGAAATTACATTTTAATCATGTTATATAACTGTAATAGATTTGTAATACAAAACTCGCAAATATATTCACTAATTAGTTTTATTTCATTTTTTAATACATTTTGATATTGAATTTCAGTTGTCCGGGTATGTGATCATTGATTTACAAAAAAGTAATTAAAATCAATATAAGATAATTATGAACACAATTTGCATTAAACAGAACAATGTTTGGCAATCTATGATCCCGTTTGCGGGTAATTATGATCATTATATTCTCATTGAAAACAATAAAACTCGTGATTAATTATAATAAAATTCTATGACTTTAAATGATAGCTCTGATGGCAAAGTATATCTAAATCACTGCAAAATGCTGTACGAAAACTGCGAGACAAGTATTAAGCGAATGCCTCTTAGGTTTTGTGTTGGAGATGACGAACAGAAGCTCTAAAAACATATAACAATTGGTTGAGCGATAAAAATAAACTAAACAATACATGCGTTTCAATAAATAAATACAATAAATGGATGAATAAAATAGTAATTATTAACAAATTGTTATTCTGTAAAAAAAAGTTATTCATTTAATGCAGACCTCATTTTGAGGCACACTTTGAATGGAAAGGTGAAAATTCATTGAATTTAAGTCAAATGATGTCCTGAAGACAAGTGGCAGTGAAAGCATTATTACGAAACAGAATAATATTAGTA